AGCGCGGAAGAGTTAGAGACTAGGAGCCGACTGGTCTGTAACGTTCGTCAGACCTAAAGGAAAAAAAATTTCCGGCTATTCGATCGTATTAGAATTCAAAACGCGTATCAGTAATTCTTTAACAAGCATTACTTTTGTGGTGAACATGAAATGCATTTAAGGTACTTAAGCTTACGTCTTGCTACTCCAATAACCTGCTTGACTCTGACAACAAGCTTGCCAGCCACATCGGTTTGCGAGCTAGCAACGGATTCCTGAATTTCCACAAGCAGGAACAGTATCAGTGTTAGGCGGCAGAACACACCGAAGTACATCCCGATGTTTTCAAAAAACGAAATGTATAAAACTGTAAAACTTCCCACTTTTTTCATGCGTTTTACAGTCAAAAAACATCAATTAGAGATAAAGTTATGCCAAAATCTTGAGGTTATAAGTCCTCTTTACTTTGATAGTTTAGTAAGCAGTAGTTTATAGCAGCATATTCCAGCTACGCTGCTGACTACTTTCCATTTATTGCGACCAGTGATGCGTTGCTGGTGATTAGTTTGTTGGCGATTTAGAAGTGCCTTAAGAAACGAGCAGCATTAGCCCTGCATTACGAAATCCATGAATTTTTGGGAGCAGAGGAAGTAATACGAAATAAATGTCGGGGTCTGCGTGTTTTATGACCAGCCACCACGAACATAGGGACGGCAAGGATCCTAAAATTTGATTAGGTTAGCCAAAATCTGCTTCTTCAGAACAGTGAACTGGCCCTTTTAAAGGACAAATGCATGAACGATTTTACAATCTACGAATGTTGTCATCATGAGAAAATATACTTAATCGCAATGTGCTCCTAGCTTAACTGTAAAGTTTGTATTAAACTGGAAAAATTGGTAAAGATCATGGCGCGTAGGTCACGGTGGCTGTGCTTTTTTCTCGAAAAGAGCCCGGTCTTCGTTCATTCATCCCGCAGTAATGACTAGTATTTGAATTTGCACTAGATGAAAGATGAAATTAGTAAGCGCAGTGCTTTAATTATATGGGATACTTTTTCTTGACACAACTGCATATATTTGTTTCGAATAAACTTGTTATTCAGTTATTATTGCAATCCGTAGATGAAAGCTCGAAAAAAAAACTGCTCAAATCCCTGAGAATAGTCAATAGCATTTATTCCAGCAAACCTAGATTTCAATAATTGCTTTTATTTAAAATGGATTTTGAATGCCTCTATTTCAGTTAGTGATACGTCAATACGAAAAGATAAAAATACGCCCACGAAAATGTAAATAAAAGTCTTTTTTGCTTTAGAAATTTTAGAATTTCAATTTCTGAATTTATTTTGTTTCTCTTATAGTCACTCACAATGAAAATTAAAATTGATATTATTTGCGGAGATCATTTGCACGTTAGTAAGCTCCAAAGATCTACTTTATTGCAGGTTTCTGTATATTTTGGCATAAGAATTTATAGGTCAGGTGTGGTGTGTCATGGTTTTAAGCACACTGTTCTGTATAGATGCTAACAAAACTTCAAAAATCATCCATGTTTATTGTTGTTCTCATGATGAAGTTTATGGCAAACTATCATTTTCACTTGATGACAACCTACTGATTATATTCTAAGCTGTGAGAAAATTGGACCAGTCCCATCACATACTCATTCATTTTGGTGTTAAATTCGTAAAAGCTTTTGTAGCGGAAAGCTCGCAAGAGCCTGAGAAAGAGCTTTATAGTGCCTGTGGAAAGTAGACAAGAAAAGAAAATGTATTCTGCCCTGAAAGGCAGTTGCACAGTACACGTGCTCCCAAGATTAGCTTGAGTGCAAGGACCTTTGGTGGAGTATATAGCACGTCGCGGCCGGCTGTGAAGAGATGTTATTTGATTCTTTTCTGACCCGTAGTCATCTGTAAACCCAGGCTGGAACGCAACAAGCTTACGTGTGGGATCATGCGTTTTTGCACTAAACATGAATAGATCGTTAAACGCATGAATGATTATTGCTTCAAACCTACCTTGTGCGCTCACTACTGTAAATCGTCGCAAATTTTACATAAAGGACCCAGGTTAGAACCCAGGCTTGCCGGTGCAATAATCCGTTTTTGTAACAGACTTAAAGCACTCAGGTCATTAACTGCATGAAATAGTTGTTGCTTTACATCTACCTCTTGCGCTCACTAGCGTAAGTCACCATAAATTTTGCATAAAGTGAATAAGTAATTTCCACTTAACGGCCGTTCCTTAAAACTGACCTAGCTATTCAGTAAGCAGTTTTCCCGCCAAAACTTTTATGTGCCCACACGTGTGGACCACGCATACCTAAAGGCTGAATTTCAAATATTTGAGTTGTATTTAGACAGGGAACATTACTCCAAATTTTCAGCTTATTAGCTTTGGGTTTTAGAGTTAGTAATTTTCCCGCCAAAACTTCCATACGTCCTCACTTGAGTAACGCGCGTACCTGGAGACTGAATTTAAAATCTTTAGCTTGTACTTGCACATGGAATATCCCAGCAAATTTTCAGCCCCTTATCTTATCTGGTTTCCGAGACCGCTTTCACGCCAAAAAATTTGCATGTTTTTTAAGGCGTCCATACGCAGCACCAAGGTGCCCGCGGGGATGATATTAAAACGGGAGGGTACATACTCCCGAAGTTTCAGCCTTCTAGCTTCTCTGGCTCTCGAGTTGAAAATGGGTGACAAAAAGTGCGAACTCACAACACGCACAGACACACACACACACACACACACACATACACATGGCCTCTTGCCAGTATGCGTTTTTGCATTTGCATATGTGCAAAACGCTTAAAAAGCGGCTACTTTTAAAGCTGCCTTTGGTTTGCTTACAAACAGCTCTCTGGCTAGGGGATCATCAACAGCCCAGCCAACAATGACCGTAGTTGTAATCTACGCTACCAGTCGGGCTAATTTCGACTGCTTCTGCCTTTTGCGGAAAACTAAGTATGAAGATCTGATTATTTTTGAGACATTGTTAACCCATCTGTGTATGATAAGGCCAGTTTATAAGGAATGAAATCAACTGCCTGAAAGTCTGTTACCTCAACTAACTTAGGTTGTACTGCTTTATGCTTACTCCTTTACCCACTATAATCAATTGCCCACAGGAGTTGCTGGCGCAAACACGAGTTTCTGCGCGAACTTTGAAGCAGATCGTTAACAGCACTAATGGTCCTTGGTTAAAGTTGAAATGCGCTGCTTGTCGTGGGAGAGAAGTGTTGGCAAACGACAGGAATGGTATTGCTACATTATCGAACGATGTGATATTCTAAACTGCACTGTACTTGATTGTCATGAAGAGAAGCAGCAGACGAATTTGATCCTTTAGCTTTACCGTGTAAGCACTAGAGGGGTAAGCGTTGGAGAAAGATGACTTTATAATCTTAGTGCAACAAAAGATATGCAAGCATTCTCGTAAATTTGTGTTTTCTCGTCTCTCCCTTTAACAAGTCGATAAATGGCAAAGTTGTTGCAATTAGAACATTTGAAGTATCCGTGCGAGAGACACTTATTAGTAAGCAGAAACTTATTATGCAATGACGAATTCTCACATAGACAATCAGCTGGAAATTTCTTGCACTTAGCGCAAAACCTAGACGCACGGCAAGGCTGATTTAAAAAGTTTAGACCGGACATGGCTAACGAATACTTTCTGAATAGTTGCTTTACAGGTGGCGTAAAATGCTTCTTCATTATAAATCGGTTGTCCTGTAGGTTTGATGTGGGCACACCGAAAGCCAATTTTATGTCTGTGAGCACGCAGTGGTCACCAAACCTTCTCTTAGGCATTCTGCGCAGCTTAATTCCACAGGAATTACTGGCTGAGCCTTAAATTTGACGTATTAGTATTCATGTAGTCGGATATTTGTTCGTTTGGCTTGAAATTTTTAGATCACACAGCGGTTACTCACCGTAGTAATGCTTTTTGTGTTGGTAAGTACAGTAACTTTCACATTTCATGCAAGACGCAAACAATATTTGCTATCAAGTAGAGGCAGTTCATCTTCTTGTTTTAGTGGCAGTCGAATGCATGTGATGGTCATTTTTATG